AGCGGTACTTAACTGGGCGCCATAGCCGTGCTCCACACTGGCGACCTGCACAACAACAACAACAACAACAACACATCCCTGCGTCAGCGGTACTTGACAAGGCGCCATAGCCGTGCTCCACACTGGCGACCTGCGCAACAACAACAACAACAACAACAACAACAACAACAACAACAATAACCACATGAAGAAGAAGAAGAAGAAGAAGAATAAGAAGAAGAAGAAGAAGAAGAGGAAGAAAAAGAATAAGAAGAAGAATAAGAATAAGAATAAGAAGAAGAAGAAGAAGAAGAAGAAGAAGAAGAAGAAGATGAAGAAGAAGAAGACGGGCGGAGGCCATACCTGCGGCAGCGGTACTTACCTGGGCACCATAGCCCTGCTCCACGCTGTTGAAGAAGAAGAAGAGGGGCAGAGGTCATACCTGCGTCAGCGGTACTTACCTGGGCGCCATAGCCGTGCTCCACGCGACCTGCACAACAACAACAACAACAACAACAACAACAGCAACAACCACAACAACAGCAACAACCACAACAACAACCAGAACCACAACCACCTGGGCGCCATAGCCATGCTGCACGCTGTCGACCTGCACAACAACAACAACAACAACAACAACAACAGCGACAACCAGCAGAAGAAGAAGAAGAAGAAGAAGAAGAAGAAGAAGAAGAAGATTCTGGCACCATAGCCGTGCTCCACGCTGTCAAAGAAGAAGAAGAGGGGCGGAGGCCACACCTGCGTCACCGGTACTTACCTGGGCGCCATTGCCGTGCTCCACGCTGTCGACCTGCACAACAACAACAACAACAACAACAACAACAACAACAACAACCACCAGAGGAAGAAGAAGAAGAAGAAGAAGAAGAAGAAGAAGAAGAAGAAGAGAACAAGAAGAAGAAGAAGAAGAAGACGAAGACGAAGAAGAAGAAGAAGAAGAAGAAGAAGAAGAACCACCTGGCACCATAGCCGTGCTCCACGCTGTGGAAGAAGAAGAAGAGGGGCGGAGGCCATACCTGCGTCAGCCGTACTTACCTGGGCGCCATTGCCGTGCTCCACGCTGTTGACCTGCACAACAACAACAACAACAACAACAACAACAACAACAACAACAACCACAACAACAACCAGAACCACAACCACCTGGGCGCCATAGCCGTGCTCCACGCTGTCGACCTGCACAACAACAACAACAACAACAACAACAACAACAACCAGCAGAAGAAGAAGACGAAGAAGACGAAAACGAAGACGAGGAAGAAGAAGAAGAAGAAGAAGAAGAAGAAGAAGAACATATTTTTAAAAAATTTGAATGAATCAGATTTTTAAGAATATTCTTTTCTTCAATATTATTTATTTTAAATAGATATATTTTTCATTATGAATCAATTGCCTTGGTTAAGTATTATTGTATTATTTCCCATCTTTGCAGGATTTGTTATTCCATTACTTCCTAGTCGGGAAGAAGAAGAAGAAGAAGAAGAAGAAGAAGAAGATTAAGAGGAGTGGAGGCCATACCTGCATCAGTGGTACTTAATTGGGCGCCATAGCGGTGATCCACACTGGCGACCTGTACACCAACAATAACAACAACACATAGCTGCGTCTGCGGTACTTGACTGGGCGCCATAGCCGCGCTCCACACTGGCGACCTGAAGAAGAAGAAGAAGAAGAAGAAGAAGAAGAAGAAGAAGACAAAGAAGAAGAAGAGGGGCGGAGGCCATACATGCGTCAGCCGTACTTAACTGGGCGCCATAGCCGTGTTCCACACTGGTGACCTGTACATCCACACTGGCGACCTGTACAACAACAACAACAACACATACCTGCGTCAGCGCCATAGCCGTGCTCCACACTCGCGACCTGAACAACAACAACAACAACAACAACAACAACAACAATAACAACCACAACCACAAGAAGAAGAAGAAGAAGAAGAAGAAGAAGAGGGGCGGAGGCCATACCTGCGTCAGCCGTACTTAACTGGGCGGCGGGCGCCATAGCCGTGCTCCACACTGGCGACCTGCACAACAACAACAACAACAACAACACATCCCTGAGTCAGCGGTACTTAACTGGGCGCCATATCCGTGCTCCACACTGGCGACCTGCACAACAACAACAACAACAACAACAACAACAACAACAACAACCACATGAAGAAGAAGAAGGAAGAAACAAGAAGAAGAAGAAGAAGAAGAAGAAGAGGAAGAAGAAGAAGAAGAAGAAGAAGAAGAGGAAGAAGAAGAAGAAGAAGAAGAAGAGGAAAAGGGGCGGAGGCCATACCTGCGGCAGCGGTACTTACCTCGGCGCCATAGCCGTGCTCCATGCTGTCGAAGAAGAAAAAGAGGGGTGGAGGCCATACCTGCGTCAGCGGTACTTACCTGGGCGCCATAGCCGTGCTCCACGCTGTCGACCTGCACAACAACAACAACAACAACAAC